CTAAGGAGAGTTAAATGGACTGATCTTCAGTGGATGTTCTGACTTTAATTTTGTGGACTAAACATTTATTTCAGTGCCCTAATTTCTAGTAATTAACAGGCCCATCTAAACAAAAAGCCATAGTCTCGGTTCAGAGTTTCCAGCTGAGATGTTTAAAATACTCCAGCGTCAGCTGCACATGTTCAATAAGTCTGTTGTCGGGGTTCTTCAGTTTCAAAGGGAAACTTGAGGAAAACATCATTTTCAAATTTGTCCACATTAGTGAGAACACGTTCTGAGAGGAGAGTCTGCAGGAGAGAAGCAGCAGCAGCTGAACGAAACCTGAGCACAGCATGCTAACGTGTGTGTGTGTGTGCGCTGTAGTGAAAGTGCACGGTGGTGTTGAGTTTCAGGAGGCTCTGACGTGTTAGTGAATGAAAGAGAGAGGCAGACAGATTGAATGAGAGCTCAATGAGTCTGCTAACAGACACTAATGTGTCTGACAGAACAAGACTTCCATTAGAAAAACACCAAGTTCAAAATCTTTACAAAAAAATCCTTCAAAAACCCCAAAATCTGAAATTAAAATGAAAAGAAAGATTTGTGTAGAAGAAAGAGATATGAGTGTTAAATCTTCAGAGTTCTCCATTACATTGGTGGATAAACAAATATTCCCATCTATAATGAAACATCAGTTTGAAAAAAGATTTCCAACAGAAATTTGGTTCAATCTTATTAAATTATGTGAGATTTATTTATTGGTAAATAAGGAAAATATGTTTTATACAGAAGAAAGATCTGTTTTAAATCTTAAGACTGTTACTGAAGGTTCTGTTTTAGATTTCTTTTAGAAGGAAATTAAATGAACAAACAGATTTCCAGATTCTGCTGTAGTTTATTGATCACACTGATAAACCCTGTAGATAAGAAATGAATTGGATTTATTTATTTGATAAACAAGCAAAAAGCGACGAAGAAGAAGTCCATGTTAAATCAGTTCATTTCTAAGACGTGTTCTGCATTAGATTATTTTTTCTATAATCTGTTTTCAAGTCAGATGAAATGAGCTCCTTGCAGAGCTAGTACTTTAAATTAGTACATTTCCAGTGGAGGTTCTGACTGGGGTTGAGAATGAATTGGTAAGATTAGCAGCAGATTGTGGTCCTAGAAGAAACCTGTCACAATGTGGTGGAAAGTGTGAAAACGGAAGAGCAGAGGCTGTTACAGCACATGGTGTCACAGCCACATTACACTATCACACCCCTCGTACTTTGGGCCATGTAATGTGTCTGAGGGCATTTTTCAGTGTGTTAATCGCCGCTGACAGTTAGTGCAGCTGCAGTTAACAGAGTAATAATAGTACTTAGCAGCTGTGGGTGTGTGTGTGTGTGTGTGTGTTTAAGGTTGATAATATACACTGTCAGTGCTATCAGTAATAGAGTTGGTTTATCTCTGTTGAACTGGAAGCTTTACCTCTCTGGACCACACATTTAATACTTCTTTCAAACACACACACACAGTCGGAGATATTGCCTTACAGCGGAATCTCCGGCAGCTGGCTGCAGGCCGCTGTGTGCCCTCATATCAGGTTTCTACTGATGGCTGAGCAGAATAAACAGCGAAATGAAAAAGTGTGATTGCTTTTCTGAAATGTAGAGACCACTGCAGTAACACAAACTGAAACAGGCTCTGACTGGTCATCACCCACACTCAGATACAAAACTTATCATAGTTACATTTAGCAGGTTTCCAATGGAAGTTCTGACTAAATTATGAAAATAAACTACACAAAAACCTGTTCTTTGTTTTCTTTCCCATCTCTAAAGTCAAAGTGTGTATTCGTTATATGCACAGTTAGGAAACACGTTTCCCTGTACAATGAAATTCTTACTTTGCCGTCCACATGAATGCCACAAAATACAAATGAAATATAAAGTAGATGAATAAGTAACACAAACTCTAAGGCACTTTAAGCAGCAAATGAAAGTAGTATAATAAGAATATAATATAATGAAGAGAGAATATATGCTACATGGATGCTAACTGAATGTTTTGAGTTTCTGGACTGTTGGTTGGTCAAAACAACAAGATGCCATCTTGGACTCAGGGACCTCTTACCACTGATTTGGGGAAATTAAAACACAACTGAGCTGTCAGGTGAAAGTACACATTTCACTGTGTGACATAAGCACAAAGGGTCAAAGGTCATGTAGTAAACTGGAAACTCAGTTGTAAAGCTGTAAGGAAGGATGGACACAGCTACTACAATTAGAGCCCTGGCTTTAAAAATATACGCAAACATCCTTGAGTTGCCTTAGATTTGTGTTATTGCTCATCTACTTATATTTCACTTGTATTATGTGGCATTCACGTGGAAAGTAAGAATTTCATTGTTTCCTAACTGTGCATATGACACACTTTGACCTTTGACCTTTAATTGCCGAATTCTTAAATTGGCAGATTTCCAATAGAAGTTCTGACTTGGATTTTGCTTTCAGCTTTTCTTCTTGAAGCAGTCTTGTGTGTGTGTGTGTGTGTGCTGACGGACACACTCTGACTGTGAGATCATGTGACAAGAATAACCTGAGCTCACCACCTGCGCCCCAGCACAGGACGTTAAACTCCAAAATACTGACCAAACCACCGACACAGAGTTGTTGTTAAAATGACCATCAGTCATTATACGCCATCATGAGGGCAACATGACTGAAGAGCAGAAAGAATCAAGGCATTGTAAGGGAGCACTTGGTTTGATGCAAGGCGCCTCCTTGCTAACGCAAACACGGCAGAATCGTTGTCACGTGAGACAGATCGCACAGGGATCTGAATCACACTCTCAATACGATTTATTGTGCAGCCCTTCTCTGTAAAGAGATTATTTGGTTTCTTAAAGGAATTGCATCCAGAACTTCCATTAGAAATGTGCTGATTTAAATGGCTGCTGGTCACGAGCAGGTCTCCGGCCGGTTTCATTTGACTCTGTGTCGCTGACATATGGTTGAAAGTGTGTTGATCTGTGGAAATTATGTGACTGAACACAATTTCTATACAGTCTGGACTTCTACTGGAAACTGAGCCCCACAAAACAACAGACAGCAGATGGTCCATCACAGGGTGTGTGTGTGTGTCTGTGTAACCCAGCTGGAGGTCAGAGGTCACTTCCTGTGTCACACGAGACCTTTTCCACAAAAGCTGTCAGTCACAGCCTGACTACTGTACTGTTCACAACTTTCATTCAGCATCCATGGTAGGAGGAAGGAAGGATGGAAGGAGGGAGGGGAGTAAGGAGGGAAGGCAGGAGGAGTAGAAGAAAGGAGAGAAGGATGGAGAGAGGGAGAAAAGATTACAAAAAAGAAGCTGAAGAAAGCCGAGCGAGCGATGGAGGAGGAGGAGTTCGTAGTTCTGAGTTGTCGGTGTGTTAATTAGCTGTCTGCTCGTTAGGCAGTCGAGCTTAATTGGAGCTGACGAGCTACACACACACAGTTACACAATCTTGTTTCATGGACACACACAGCTGGGTGAGGGAGGAGGTGTGAAAGTAGGACACTGCAGCAGACTCCAAACGCACACATTTATGCTATAACCGCACATTTAAAGGTGTAGTTTGTAGAATTAATGTAGTGAAACAGAAAAAATATCATCAGCTGAATTTTCCATGTGTGACATGAATTTTCCCCAAGAAAGAAAAACCATGTAGCCGTTCAGGCTTTAGAGTCAGACTTAGAGTTGTTCTCTTCTGCTGGAGCTACGCTAACACATTTGACTTTTTTACAAAAGGGTTCATGGGAAGTTGAGCTTGTGAGTACTGCCCCATACTTTTTAATATTTCAAATAAAAGCTGAACTTTTTTAGTGTTAGCTCACTGGCACAAATCAACATTTTACAGCTGATGGTTCTCACCACAAATATCCACACCTTTGCTGCCTTCCTCCCTTTTCCCTTCCTTCCTACCGCTGGTCCTTACTACTTTTCCTTCTACCCTTTTTCTGACTATTTTGCTCCCTCCTGTCATTCTTCCTTTTTTCCTTCCTTTATCTGTTTCCTCCCTCCTGCCTATCCTCCTTTCTAGACCTTCTCTTCCTCTGTGGTTTTTTCTGGGTCAGACACAGGGAGGGAGGCAGGAGGTTTGGGGAGATTTGGGGAAATCTTATTTTAGTCACTCCACATTTTCCAACATCCTGCTTGTCTCATCATCATCAGCTTTCTGCTGTATTTAACGACACACACTCACCATCATCATCCTCATCATCAGATTCCTTCCTCTCTGGTAAAGTCTATCCCCAGTCCTCACTCTCGTGTCTGTGAAATGGCGTCTGTTTTTATGCTAATCAGAAACGGTCCGACACTTTGGGTTCAGAGTGAGACATCCCTGCAGCTGCTGCACATAAAGTATTTATCAAATGTTCTGAGATAGAAGATTAACATCATCTTCCACCAAGAAAGAATCTGTTCGTTTCTCATCTCATTGCATCAGGCCACAGATTAGTTAAAGCGCCACCTTCAGGCCACAATTCACAGATTCATTACAGGCAGTGGTGAGAAATACATTTAGTCCAGTGCTGTTGTACAGGTGTAAGGGCTTTTCTTTTCATTGTACTTTCCACTTCTACTCGTCTCTGTTCCATCACCAAATACTGTGCATTTATCCAACTGTTGTATTTACAGTGCAATGCAACATGTTTTACATTATTATAGAATAATGTTCTTGTTGTTTTTCCAATAACATTTAAGAGCATTTACATTTGAAATACAAGGAACGATTAGCCGATATCACACAACACCCGTTTCGTTTGTAAAAACGTGTTCACCTTTTTATTCTCAGGTTGGTTTTTTACTGTTAATAAAAAAATGAACCAAACAGGCAGGTTTGGAATGGGAGTCTGGTGGCCTGGTTAGCATTCGCTACTGTATTTAATGGGGCTGTTAGCATGTTAGCTAACCAGCAGGCATTTCATGTCTGACAGTTTTCAAAGTGTTCCGTTAGCATCAGGCTAATGTTTCATTCCCTGTGTGTGTTTCAGATCCGTGTGGACGGGATCCCGCCGCTGGCCCAGAATGCTTTGCTGTACGAGATGGTGACAGTGGTGGAAGGGAAGCCGATTCTGAGAGACATGGTGTTCAGTCCAGACCACCAGTACATCTACCTGCTGAGTGACAGACAGGTAAACGCACAGAGACACTGGCTTGGTGCGGTGGACATTTGGTTGAACGCTGCCCAGAACGCCCCTTAGTTTTTGTTTTTGTTTGAGCACAAGGTCCTTGACCTCTACTTTTTTGGTAGGTAAATTAATCTCTGTATGGATGTTTTGCATTAGGTTTTCCAATAAAGAAAGCAAAGTACAGTTGTGTTCAGGAGAATGTTTCCTACAGCTGTTAAATAACCAGATTTCCAATGGAAGTTCAGACTTGATTTTTTTAAACAATTACAGAAAATACTCTACAAGCCGTCCCTGGTGGGCTAGTGGTTAAGGCGCAGCGCTCTCACCGTGGTGCTCCGGGTTTGAATCCAGGCTGCGTCAGGAAGGGCAACACGTGCCAAATGTCAACATGCAGGTCGTCAGTGTGACGATTCGCTGTGGTGACCCCTAAAACGGGAAAAGCCAAAAATGACTTTCTTCACAGAAAATACAAAAACAGAGCGCACACACACACATTTCTAAATCTTTGCAGTGACTTCGAAATACTGATTTACTGTGTGTGTTAGAAGAAAGCATCTGGACGTAGTTTTAGGTAGAAGATGTTTCACCTCTCATCAGGATCCATCAGATGGAGCCTGATGGAGCCTGATGGAGCCTGGTGGAGCCTACGACCTGGATGACTGAGAATTTGCACAGATGTGTGTGTGTGTTCTTGTACTAACAAGTTGTTTTTTTTGCTACATAGTGAGGACATTTTCGGAAAGTGAGGACATTTTATCCGGTCCTCACTTTCTGAAGCACCTTCGTGATGGTTAAGACTTAGTTTTAGGGTTGAGGTCTTTATGTCAGTGAGTGTCCTCATAAAGACAGAAGTACGTGTGTGTGCGTGTGCACATTGTGTGTTGGAATATGACTTCTGTTGTTTTACCATCTGCAGACAGGAAACTGTGAATGTGGCTCAGCTGGCACCACAGAAACACAGTGTCTGAATATGCGTGTCCCATATTATAAGAGTCAAGAGGAAGTTTAACAACTGTCGGTTCCTGTGCAGCTGACGACTCACACAGAAACATGTTCAGATCTTTGTGTCGGTGATTCAGACATTCTGATGTCAGCAAACAGCTGTTTGACTTCAGCTGGTTTTCTGTGGGGCTCAGTGTTACAATCAGAAACTTCCATCTCTAGAAATTCACCACATTTAATGCATCAGTTTGGGTTTATTTCCAAATCTACCGCACAGAAACATTTACTGTATCTGTGCTGGCAAGCCTTCCTCCTGTCCACACTGGTTTTATAGGGGCTGTCTTTTTTTTTTATAGAAACCATTTCCAGTTAAAACTGTCTCTATCATTTACTTATGTACAAAATTCTGTTACTTGTACTTTACCAAAGTATTTACATTTTCTGCTACCTTATACTTTTACCCCACTGCATTTATTTGATAGCTTTGGTTCTTAGTGATATTTCAGCTTTTGGTTAATAATAGTGAATATAACCAGCAAATAAATGATGCTGTGTTGTTATAGGTTATTGATCCCAGGGGGGAAATTCACAAGTTATCAGCTGAGTCACAAAAACCAGCTCCACCTTCACCAGCTGCAACACTGAAGCATCAATAATTATAATCCAGAAATATTATACAGCATATATACTTAAAGTCCTTTAGGTACTTTTACTAAGCAACATTTGGAATACAGGACTTTTACTTATCACAGTATTACTGTGGTATACTTACTTATGTAAAAGAACTAAGAACCCACAAGTCATAAACTTCCAGAAGAGTTGTATTTTATTTTAGTTTAGTTTACTTTATTATGTAGTTAATTATTTTTACTAAAGCAGATGTTCTGTTCGGAGGAAAGACTTGGATGGTAGATCAGAAAATTTCCCACAGAAGTTCAGCATGTGACACACACACACACACACACACACACACACACTCAGTAAATCAGTATTTCAGCGCTGCAGTTATTTACGAGCGTGTGTCTGTTTGTACACGTGTTTCTGTGGTTGTGCGGACACAGAGTACCTACTGATAAAGGCCACTCTACGGGGTGATAACAAATAAAGCAGGTGTTCATTATTCATTAAGTCCCATAACGCGTATTGTTACATTTTAGGGAGATGACCTGGTTTAGAGCCACAGTGAGGTTAGATTGTAGTTAGACAAAGGTTTGATTACTGTGAGGGTACGTCTCCAGGACAGAAGCGTAAGGCACTGTACTGTCCTCTGAAGTGATGGAAACACCACTGTGTGTGTGAGACAATGAATGAATTCACGCGTGAACGTCCGAATGAGACAGAGACAAAGCGTCCGCTGTTTCGCTGTGTTCACTGTCTCCCTGCTGCACTGACTTCTGGGTAAATGACACGCACACTCACACAGTAACTAACTGTCTGAAAAATCATGACAAATGTGTTGCACACAGGCTTCGGGCTGTGTTACTGTCAGAAAACACACTGAGATACCACACACACATAAATAATGTGGGAACAATGCCAAACAGTATCAAATTAAATTTGCCTTGATGATAACAAATTAACCATCATGACGTGTGCACGGTTAAGTCGAACACTTTTCCTATAGTGGCAGCTGTAAGTGCCCACATGATCAAATGTTGGGCTGGTTTTGTGCGGCAGAATCACAGTGTCAGTAAGTAGCCATTTGTCACAAGCCCCTGTTTCTCAAATGCCTCCAGAAGCTCTGCTTCATGTTGGTTCACATGTCAACCAGCAGCTGTGCACGGGGCGGCGACTGGTCAGCGTGTGTTTGTGTCGTACAGACCTACAGCTGGTCACTCACAGGTAAACCAGCCTGTTTAAATCCCATAGGCTAAATGCTACTGATCGTCACCTCTGGTGTTTGTCTGCACGGCGCCTCCTGGAGGTCACGCTCTATGTTGTCAGTCTGGATGATCTGAGTTTGGTTCTGTCCCTTGTCGTTTGTAAATGGACTCTGTCATCGACACTAACCTGTGTCGCTGTGAACCGTCCACGCTGTGTGAGTGGACAGAACACACAAACAGTCACTGGGGCCAGTTCTGCATCAGAGCGTGCATCACAGCGTAGAGCGTTCCATTTTGCAGGACATACACGTTACTGATGACTGGATCTTCAAGTGCTCACAAAAATGCAGTGTTATGAATTTCAACCAGATTATGCAAATAGGCGGATTCTTTTTCCTCTCTAGGAGAAAAAGGTGGCGGGCCTTGGTTTCGGTGCGTTCCGGCAGCATTGCACCTGTGGTCTCTACTTATTAACTGCAGTTTGTTCCATATTTTGCTCACTGAGATATTTATTAATATTTATTATGTTGTTGTTTGATGTTATTTTTCCATCTTACTGAGTGTTTTTCCACAAGGACATGTTCGTCAATCCATAGAGAACAAGCAGAAACAGCCTCATCTGCACTCTAGCACACACTCACGTGGAACATGTTTGGCTGTAAATCTGCACCAAGCGGATTTGTGTAACCTTGCCATGTTGTGTGCGAGCAGGAGGTCAGAGTGAATGTGAACATGATGTGTGTTTCAGGTCAGCAGACTCCCGGTGGAGAGCTGCGAGCAGTACAGCGGCTGCTCGGCCTGTCTGGGCTCCGGAGACCCTCACTGTGGCTGGTGTGTCCTCTTCAGCAAGTAAGACGCTTTACTTTGAAGCATCAGACTGTCAGCAGACATCAGGCAGCTAATGTGGCTAATGTTAGCTCGACAACAGGTTGTTGTCCAAACACATAGAGATAACTTCATAAAAACAGTGAATTTTGTACTAAAACCACTGAAAACACAGAAGACTCTGTTTGTTGTATGAAGTATAACATGTTTAAAATATGACAAGAATTTTTAAAAGGAAGAAAATGAGAACCATTTCTCCAGGTGTCATGGTGCACCCTGATTGGTCAGCTACCTGTCGAATCTCCTCAATCAAAGTCAAAACCTCCAGAGAGAAAAATGATCACAGATCAGTGATAATATCTACCTAACAGGACAGAAATCACCTTTGGGAAACTGTACTTGGTTTTTGTACCGTCCACTACCATGGAGGGGGCGGGGCTTATGACCTATACTGCAACCAGCCACCAGGGGGTGGTAGCTCCACTTCTTGGAGCTGTCACCTCATCCATCTTTTTAAATCCCAGTTCCCAATTTGATCATCTGTTACTTGACCTAAACGTGGTTCCGGTCCGCCATTTGAAGGACATCCCAGAACTATTATTCATTCTCAGAGGAGCGAGGAAGTTGCTTGAGGAGCCATGACACTGGGACACATGAGTGCATCCTTCACAGAAGTCTTTTTTGGACCGACATGGTCCTTTATCAGAAATCAGCTGGTGATTGGACACTTTATACAAAGGGCATCTCATGTCTCTAAAACATGTTTCCTCGGTTCCTCTCTCCTCGCATCCTACATGAGTGGCACTAAGACACAAGGAAAAGATTCAAGTAGGAGAAACATGAATACAATTAAGGGAATTGAGATGTACCTTGTGTTTTCAAGAGTCAGGTCCTAGTTTGACAGGAAGAACCATGTCAGTGTGACCTTGTCAGTGCATTGTTTTATGAAAAGAAACAGCTAGAACTAAGCATCCTACATGAGTGGCACTAAGACACAAGGAAAAGATTCAAGTAGGAGAAACATGAATACAATGAAGGGAATTGAGATGTACCTTGTGTTTTCAAGAGTCAGGTCCTAGTTTGACAGGAAGAACCATGTCAGTGTGACCTTGTCAGTGCATTGTTTTATGAAAAGAAACAGCTAGAACTAAATATGTGTTACCAACACAAAGAACCTTTTCATCAGTAATGTTCCTTAAAACTACCCAAAACAAGAGGTTTAACCCTCCAGCAATGCATGCTGGGATGTCTACTAGTTTTGTTTCTCTAAAAATTTAATCTCTCAGCAGTTTATTCAGTCTGACCAACTCATGTTTATAAGTTCTGAAGTCTAAGAATTAAAACTAGACAAGCTGAATTAATTTGAAATGAACAAAACGTACCTACTTATGATAAAAGAGGAGTTGATTCCACCGCTTCCCGTATCATGTTTGCATGTAAAGGCACTGGTTGTCATGTATGTTCAGATGTCCACATACTTCTGGCCATGTGGTCTAAGTAGAGGATAGAGTGAAAGAAAAAGAGAAAACAGGAACAGAGGAGAGGAAGTGGGAGGTAAGATATTATAGACAAATATAAATAAAGGATAAGAAGAAACAGGAAGTGTGTGTGTGTGTGTGTTCCCATGAGGCATCATTACTGGTTCTATAAATGCTTCACACACACTCGGTCGGCGCCGCTGACTCTTTGATGTTCAGCGTCCAGGTAGGTGGAGGAAGTTCCTCTTTGGATTATCACCAATTAGCGATCCCTTCAAAGTAAAAGTCCTTGTTTACCAGCTGATATAAGATATCAGCAGCTTCCTGGATCTGAGAACAGTTGCAAGACGTTTCTGCTTTGCTGCATTTACATGGCAGTAAACTGACTGTGTTTGTTTACTTGGATAAAACAAGAGACACATTTTCCATCAGTATATTTTAAACTAAATAATGAACTAATCAAGAAAATAATCAACCAGTAATCAGTAAAGTTGGTATGTCAGCTTATTGTCCTTTTATTTTTATTCTCTTTATTTACATATTTGTCTTGGACCATTAAAGTCCTACAGTGAAAGAAGACACTTTGTATTTGTATCAGAATTTATCAGTATTTGCAAGTAAATAAACATAAAACTTAAAAAAGCATAAACAAGTAGTAAACTTATAAAATAAATGACAACATATTTAATTAAACATAAATTTTCAAAATAAATACATGAATTAAATAGGAAATTAAAATACCAATACAAAATAATGTAATAATTTGATAAGCAGTCAGCTTATTGATTATTAATAAATAACTAAACTCATGCTTTTATTGATTAAAAAATAATGTGTGTCATTAAGTGTAGGAGTTCAGTGTTTACCCTGTGGTGACCTTTGACCCCTCCAGGTGTTCCAGACAGGAAGCATGTGACAAGTGGGAGGAGCCTCAGCACTTTAACACGCACCTTGAACAGTGTGTCGACATCTCCGTTATGCCGAGCAATATGTCCGTCACCTCGCTGGCAACACAGGTACGTTTGTTTCCTGTGGGACCCGACACATCCACAACCCTGCACCTGGTCAACAGGTTCCGTCCTGAATCTGGATCTGAACTGGCCATGAACGAGGTTTTGTGCAGAGACGTGTTGGACCTTTGGCCTTTGTTGTTGTTTACCTTTGTTGTGTGTTGGTTTTTGGACACTGTCCGTGTGTCTCCAGCTGACCATTCGAGTGCAGAATGTCCCAGCGCTGTCGGGAGGGGTTTCCTGTGTATTTCAGGACCTGAGTGAAACCCCTGGAGAGGTGGTGGCCCGAGGTCAGGTGACCTGTTTGTCACCGTCACTGAGAGACCTGCCGGCACACACACATGACTACGGTACAACACACACTGCACTGCAAAGTCTTTTAGCCTGTCTTTGCTCCTGGTTTTGGTTTCTTTCACACTGCCTCTGATGTTTTTAATATGTCATATAACAATTATCAATCAGTTCTCAAATTGATCAGATGACTTGTGGTTAGTGATTGTCGTGATCAGATGACTTGTGTTATTGTTGACTGATTTCAGGAGAGAAGCGTGTGGTTCAGCTCAGCCTTCGCTCCTCAGAGACCGGTCTTCAGTTCATAACCACCGACTTCATCTACTACAACTGCTCCGTGCTCAGCTCGTAAGTCTCCTCCTCTCCTCTATCCTTCTTGCCTTTCCTCATCTCCTTTCCTCTGTCCTTCAGTCCTCTCCTTGTTTCCTTCCTCCTTCCTCAACTGCTGTGGGATTTTGATGGGAACAGGTCTTAATGCCCCTCTCTCTGGCTCTCAGGTGTACTTCGTGTGTCAGCAGTGTGTTTCCGTGTCACTGGTGTAAATATCGCCACATCTGCACCAACAACCTGCAGGACTGCTCCTTCCAGGAGGGACGAGTCAGCAACATGGAGGTACAGACACTCAGGAGCCAACATGCCAGTCAGTGTTAATCGTACAATCAGCGCACATAGTTAAAACATGACAACACAAAGTCGCATTACCTCAGTAAAACCACAGGGGCCATGATAGCAAACAGACAAATGTTGGAGATGCTCCTGTGGGTTGTATCAGGGTCGGGACTCAGCACCTGGACAGGTCGACTGGGCTGGAGGACTGGGTGCTTACGTCAGAGTCAGAGTTTGACCTGTTATGCATCACTTTTTGGGGGCTACACGGTGCAGGACTCTGGCATTCCTTGTAGCAAACCACACTGGGATGTTTCTTCTCCCATAAGTGAGTCTGTACTTGACAGAATGAATGATTATAGCTGGTACCACAGACTGGGAGAACTGGGGAAAGTACTGCGTTCAGCACTACGGGTCTGTAAGTCCTGTATCTGAGAAACCATTTGCAACCTGTCGTGTCCTAACTTAGAGTAGCTCCACACAGCCGACATTCTTCTCTTGCTGCTGTAAAATATGGGTGACGACTGCTTTACCACTGCTGTTGTAGGGGAGACGCAGCACATCTTCATGAAGATGAGGTCAAAGTGAATCTGCTTTACTTTGGCCACTACAGCTCCATTAAACTATGCCAGATCGGCTCAGGACATGTCTGTTTTTATCTGTTGTTCGTCTGTGTTAGTTTGTTAAGTGGAGGTATGTCAGCCAGCTGCAGTGTGTCTGTGCTTGGAGCTGTCACTGTAGGCTGTTTCCAGTGTTTCCATCATTTCTGCTGCTCAGAGAGTGAGGAGCAGGAAGGTCAGAGCTGCTCTGTCTCACTGTCATTACATGGTTCAGTAAACAGCAGTAAAGCTTCAGGTCAGCAGTGAAGGGCAGAAACAGCACACCATATTTAAGAGTTGCTGGTGCATTCAAGGGCACTGGGACATCGGAGGTTTAAAATTCAGCTGCATATGTTACGTCTGTGACTCGGGCCGCCCCATGTACCTCGGTAGCAGGCACAGGTAGCAGCTCCGCCCCCCCACAGGTGAGGGTGCATTCCAGGCGACGAGGCACACCTGCTCTCCATTATCGGAGCAGTATATAAATACGTTTTCTTGTCTAACCTGGGTTCGAATCTGCATATTTACTGGGTCCTAAACAACTCACACACAGCTTAACGTAACAGCATAGATCGGTTCATCAGCGGTTTGGACTATGGACTTTACACACTGTCGCTAAAAATGTGATTTATTCATTTTCAAGAAAAACAATCTGCTGATGTTTCCTCATATACTTTGTCCAGTTTTGTCATTATGGATGTGGAACAGGTCTCAAATTGAAAAAGGTCCTTAAAAGTAACCTGGTGAAAGGCTTCAGCAGGTGACTCCAGCCCTGTGTGATGATGGGTTGTGTGCTCCTGTAGTCCACCTACGGCTCTATAAAGGCTTCAGCACTGAGAATGATCCCAGTTTGTATTGTGACACCTCTTATCTCATTAGCAGAGACGACAGGGAGCTAGGATGGAGTTGTTTGGGCGTCTCGTTGATGTGATTGGTGCTTGGTGTCATTACAGAGTGACAGTAACAACCTCTGATTGGCTAATTGGTTAATGGAAGATGAATAGCCACTTAATTGACATGAAAGCATCCAATCAAAGCGATTAATGTTAATTACCAGGCAATTAGGCTGACTAACGAGAGAGAGGAGGAGGGAGCAAGCAGCAGAAGAAACTAGGAGAGAGACGAAGAGAACCTCAGGAGATATTTTATTAGTTTCTGTTTATTTTCTATTTAACCTATGTTCGGCCAGGTTAAAGTGTCCTTCAAATTAAAAGCCTCATTATCATTTTCTGAGAGAGAGAGAGAGAGGAAAAGGAAGAGTTAAAGATGGACAAGTATAAAGAGAAGCTGCTCTGACTATCTGTTCATCTCAAGCTGAAATCTGTCAGCAGAAAGAAGAGAAGAGAAGAGACAGAGACGGAGCCGCAGCTGTAAAACTACAAGTGCTAAGGAACTTCAGCCCATTCTGATGCTGCTGAAATGTGGTGCATTGTTTTCAGAGCAAAACTCCTGAAGTTTCAATTGTCTGCCATCTTTTCTACCTTAAAAACCAACATGCACAAACAGAGGGCGACGTACATCGGTATATTTCAGGGTTAAATCTGATGAAAGTAAGTGAGAGGAACAGAATCTCTGAGTAAAATTAGTTCTAACAAAACAGCCAGCAGCTGTTTATTGAGGCCACTTGTTGTTTGTGTAGTAGAGAAGCAGTTTCAGGTCTGACCCCCTCATTACAGGGTCTATATAACAAACCTGATTCTACCCTGAACCCCTTAGCAGACACCCCATTATTGCACAAACATAATGACCTCAAAATAAAAAGGGGACTGTTCTTCAGCCTCTGAGGTTCAGTCATCACCCTGGTCTCGTCTGACAGCTTCACAACAAAAAGTCAGAGTTTGAGGCACAACTGTAGAAATGTTCCATGTGACTGCATTCAAAGCAAACACAAGGCCTGTTGTGTGGCACCGCACAAGCTGGAGCCAGGTGGCTGAGAGTGTCACTAAAGTGCTGAGAAGAAGAGAAGCCGACATTTCAGACAGTGAATAATGTGTCAGCAGGGCGAATCACGGCTCACGGAGCAGCCCCTGGGACAAAGCACGGCCTCGGTAGGATGGTGTACTCCAGCAGATTAAATCCGCCCTGTGAAAGTACAGCTCAGAGTGGTCCTCACAGTGAACAGCCACCCAAGTACACACACACTGTCTCACAGTCTCATCAGCACGGACCCTCGGCTGGCGCCCACCACGCTCTGGTCTACTTCCTGTGGAGCTAATGGTCTTCCTGTCAGTCACAAGGCAATTAATTACCATGATGACGCTTGTTAATAAAGGTTTGACCCAACACAGAGACACGGTCAGCATGTGTGTGTTTCCAGCAGGAAGTCCCAAAGCTCGGACCTGTCACCAGCTGTCAATTTCCACACGCACACGCCCAGCCACACAGGCTTGTCCCTGTCTGCACAGCTTACTGTGCGAGGGTGTGTTTTCAGTGCGAGACAGTTCCCAGTACAGAACGCAGTGTGTCTCGCTTCTCTAACTTCACCAGCAACACGATGATGCAAACTGTCCACACTGAGGAAACACGACTAAAAAGAGGCTCAGAACAGCCACAAAGACTTGTCTGGGGGTGTCGCTCCTACTGTAGGCGGGTGGGGGCCTTCTCCATGTCTGTTCCCAGGAACCCAGTGTCTCATAACTCACCCAGGCCAGTATCATTTGGAAAGCCTAAAAAAACCCAGACACTACTTTTATTTTATCTCTCTCACGTGGGAGCCAATAGGACGTGAGCAGACTCTGCCGTAGTGAGCATGCTCAGTGGGCCCAGTGACACAGAAGCATGTGGAGCATGTGTCACTGCAACTTGGACAGGAATGAACTGGACACATCTTGTGCTCCTGATCCACTTCTTGTTAATTATTTCTACCGCTATTAGTGGACGATCTAAAATATAACAGCAATAAACAATCTGTCATTACTTATAAACTGATTGACAGGTCATTCATAGAGAGAGATTTCTGACAAACATTTAAAGGTTCGATGTTTGTTTGTCTGGACCACATGCCGACATTTTCAACCCAGCTGGAAAACGAACAAACCAGACGGTGACCTGCCCACGTACTGATTCATGTGGTGTAACGGTACAGGCCGCACCTTTAACTCTGAGTGTGTATTATCTCCCTCCCCCCCTCCTCCTCTGTCCGCAGGGCTGTCCACAGATCCTCCCCACCTCTGACATCCTGGTCCCAGCTGGGATGGTTCGTCCAATTACGTTGCGAGCTCGTAACCTCCCCCAGCCTCAGTCAGGTCAGAAGAACTACGAGTGTGTGTTCAACATCCAGGGCAAAGTCCAACGAATCCCTGCCGTACGCTTCAACTCCTCCTGCATCCAGTGCCAGAACACCTCGGTGAGTCACTACACTACCCAGCATGCACTGTTCCTCACGTTAGACAAGCTCTGGTACTCTATGTGTGGTAGCAGTAAGAACAAGTATTGTTAAATGATGTACTATTTAGGAAATTTACCTTATGTTCTTCCTTTTTCTAATGTACATATTAGCAGTATTAGTACAAGGAACAGTAATAGCAGTGTTTATAGTAGCAGAAGTAGTATCAGTAGTAGATGAATCAGCAGTAATAGTAGTAGTACCAGTTTTAGTACTAATAGCAATAGTTGTACTGAAAACTGCAGTGTAATAATCAAAATAACCAACTTATAAAATAACAAATAGCGGATTCAGTAAAATACCATAAATACATAAACACACACTGACATATCAAACATGGCCAGAAGGCAGAAACTAGCTTCATGCTAATATTAGCACTATCCCAGACGATGAAGTATTGTTAAAGGTCTGGGCTAACACCTGGGTTTTTCTGTTGCCCCTTCTCTTTTTTACTTTTTACTGTTTCCCCCATTTTCCTGTTCAGTTTAAGTTAATTGATTTATTTTTCTCTATCGTTTACGCCCAGCCCCCTCCAAGGTGCCGGTGTTCTCATCCTTTTAAGATTATTAATGTCCTGAGTTGTACCTCGACGCCCTCCATCTTCAGGGGGTCTTGTCAAGCCATTAGTCTGCACAAACCCACTACCTTGTGTGTGTGTGAGATGACCCGGCGACCTCCAGAGGTCAGGTGTCAGGTGGATCGTACTGATGTGTCTGGGATCCAATTATGCGGATACACACTACAGTGTTGGTTTTTCTACAGTTGTAAGGACCTTCATTGACATGCATCTATCTTCTAGCCCTTCGCCCTAACAGGAACCATGACAGCTACATGCCTGCCGCCAAGCCTTCAACCTGAATCCTAAAACCAAGTCAGCACCCTCACAGTGTTGACATGTCCTTGCAGTGCAGAGATGTTCTCACAGAGTGTAATCTTACTAGTACACACAGATTGATTAGTGTCCTTTACTGCAGCGACACTCACCATCCACCATGCTGCATTCAGAAAACACACACACACACAAATACACCAACTGTTGTCCGTCTGCTCATGTTCATTTCCTGTCCTTCATCTGTCTTCCTGTCGGAGAGCCCGCCCCGAAGACGCCTCACACAGGCACAGACATATTTTGCACTGACATACCACTGCTACACGCAGACAGCAGCAGCACACACACACACACACACACACACACACACACACACACAGATGGTCAGTGTTTCTGTGTTTAATTAAGTTACTATTCCCAGAGGAAACTGGCCATTTAGCAGCACACACACCAAAACACTTGCACACAGTGTTAGTGTTCTTCTGGCTCCACACGCTTCACATAGTCTCCAATCAGCCGTGAGAATAAAAGCACAGGGTGTGTATTTGTTTCCAGCAGACCCAAACAGGATCCACAGTTTAAAGTGGTTTCAATTGAATATAGAAAGCAGTTTAGTCAAAGTCAACAGTTCTTCATATATAAAGTTGAAGGGTCACAGTGAGTGTTTTCAGACTCATCTTTAATGGCCAAGTATCTTTGAACATGCAAGGTGTTTGACTCCGGTGCTGAGGCTCTCAGTGTGTTAGTAAGGCAACAGGAATGGAAAATAACAATGAGAATAAAAAGTTAAAACAATAAAACAAAAAAAAATAATACTGTTTTATTGTGTGCCTTTACGCCTGTTTTCATAGCGCCAGGTAGCGTTTATAAATGCTGTTGCAAACTGTGCTCGGTGGACGCCGCTCTGTATGGGGCCCGTGCTGTCAACTGCCATTTATTCCTCAGCGTGTATGTAAACACCATCCTGTACAGCAACAAAAGCATGAGTGTGTGTCTGTCTACACCAGTGAATGTGGTGAGAAGTGGGGACATAAAATGTATTAACTTTATTCATGGAAATTCCCTCCTCCATGTCCCATGATCCTTTGTGTCAGTAGGGGAATGGGAAAATACCATAATAAAGAAAAAGGCTGCTTTGTTTTGTCACATTTTCACCAGTTTGCTGGTGCACACAGATGTGTGTCAGGAGTTAGTTTGTTTACAGTTTTATTTTTTGTGTATGTGAAGTCCGTTGGTTTTAAAGTGTTTAAATAAATTAGATTAGATTAGATTTGAGTTACAAACGGCATGTGCAGCTTGCAGATTACATTTTTAAATGCCACCTGATGATATTAAGCCCAGTAGAAAGCAGTGTGGAAAACTAATGTATTCTGACCCATTTGGCTTTCCATAGCTGTGGAGCAAAGTTCAGCGCCATGCTAATGTCCTCTGACACCATGTGAGCAGCTCTTCTCAAAGAGCAGTAGTAGCAGTGCAAGTAACAGCAGCAGTATTATTGTGTGGATGCTGCAAAGCATCCACACTATGTTCTCCTGATTATTCTGGGAGCTTCGTCTATTTTTTGGCACTTTATAAGTCCAGCATAGTTTCAGCTATATAGGCCATTCTGGTATCTACCTGTTCAGCTTTTCCAGGACATT